CGAAAACAGTGGGGAAGTTTCAGGACCTCCTGTAAGAACACCCACTCCTCGCCGGAAACTGTCACGCAGAGATTCCAGAAGACGGGTTTCCGTTAAGGAGCTTTTATGTTGGAAGCGATTACGAAAGCAACCACTGTCGGAATCTGCTAGTGACTAGAGTAGCCATGTCTGAGGGGCTCCGTCACAGACAGAGGTTTGTGGACTTGAACAAACTCTGAGGGGATACGATTTTACGCACAAGCAGCTCATCATCCCATCACAATATATATATATATATATATATATATATATATATATATATATATAACAAATCCCTGGAGGAGAAGGCCACTGAAGGCTACTAGTCATGGTGGCTATGCTATGCTTTTACAGTTGGAGGCAGTAATGCAGGCTTCCTCAACCTCAGCCCTCCAGATGTTTTGAAACTACGATTCCCGTCATCCCTGACCACTGGTCCTGCTAGCTAGGGATCATGGGAGTTGTAGGCAAAAAACATCTGGAGGGTCAAGGTTGAGGAAGCCTGCAGTAAGGCTTCTGAATACCAGTTGCTGGAAACCACAAGAGAGGAGAGTGCTCTTGTGCTCAAATCCTACTTCTGGGTGTCCCAGGAATCTGATTGGCCACTGTGAGAACAGGATGCTGGACCAGATGAGCCATTGGCCTAACCCAGCAAGTTCTTCTTATGTTCTTAGGGTCAACCCAACCATTAGCTAGAGTGAGACAGCTGCCTCAGTCAGCAGATGGTGTGGGGGCAGAGTTGAGGAGCTGGGAGGACAGAACAGTGTGTTCTGTGCAGCCTGCCATTCATCTACTAATCTTGTTTGTAATGGAGGAGGCTGTCCTATCAGCGCTGTTGAAATAAGATTCAAATGCCACCCTGGTCAATTTCTGAATGTGAAATGGAGAGTACCATTTTCCCCTTTGGCCCCCTTTCCCCATTTTGGACCGCTCCTAGCAGCAACTTAGGAATCCGTTCAACGGTGTGTCCCAAATGGCCGCTGCGAAATCATCACCGTATATTTAGGCAGACCCAGTTTGTAAATATTGTGAGCCCGGCTTCTCCTGGTGTGAACTGGCATTGGTTGATATTCAACACTAATTAGGCTGTGCTGATTTGCAGTCAGTGTGTGAATCAGCCTGACTGTTTAAAAATATTTGTGTGAGCATTTCGTTTTCCCACTTGGCACCTCTCTCTCTTTGAAAAGGCTGGGTCTACCAATGAAAACCTTGCAGGGAATATAAATGATAGCTGAAATTAAATAATCAAATGGCACCAGCACCTACCCTTGGACACAGAACAAAATTCGCCAAAATAATGCACTTCATGAAAAATAAAGGAAAAGAGAAATGCTATCAAGTTTGTTCAGCTGGAATATCTCACCAAGAGAGCTCTGCTCCCATAATATTTGGGCCAGAACCATGTCATAAATCTTACAGCTATTAACCCAGTGTCTCATTCATCTCTGCTCAGCTATAGAAGAGCAATAACCTTGTCGCTACAGGAAGTGAGATAGAGGCTTTTAATTGCACTGAGATTGCAGGAAAGCTCTTATCTTATAGTCCAATTTGTAACTCCAGATACAATTCTTTGCTCAAAGTCAGTGCCAGTCTATAGTGCCCTGTACTTAATAAATACTTCAAAAGTTTGTGTCCCCTGCAGAAAAAACTGCTACATTAAGTTCTCTTTGTAGAACCCAGTGCTAAGAGATGCCCTGTGGTCATGCTGCTGAAGAACTGCATCGCCACAGTTCTGCCAGGGGCGCAAGATCACTTAGCTACGGCTCTGGTTAGGAGCCAGAGTCAGGAGTAGGTCAGCAATAAACTAACTTCACTAGTGTCAGAGAAGTTAACTCTCTATTCAATGAAACCAAATGAAACCCAAATAGTGCAAGACTAGTGATCCCAGCATTTCTGTGCACTGCTCTGGTTTGCCAGAAACGACTTAGTCATGCTGGCCACATGACCCGGAAGCTGTCTGCGGACAAAAGCCGGCTACCTCGGCCTATAGAGCGAGATGAGCGTGGAACCCCAGAGTCGTCCGCGACTGGATCTAATGGTCAGGGGTACCTTTACCTTTACCTTAGTGATCCCAGTAGGTCTTGCCCCAATGAGGCAGTTGTGAGGACTGAAAGTCCTTGCCCTCCCACTGCTCTCTAAGGCTCCTCCACCTGTTCCTTCCCCAGCAGCCTAAAGCTCCATCTATTCTCTCAATGCTTTGCCCTCCTACATGTTCTGGGAGACCAGGGGGAAGAAGAACTGGTTGCAGCAGGAGGGGGAGGAGGATCCCTGAATTCTTCAGCAACCTGCCTCATCTCTGTCTCCTCCCCGCCCCCCGCCCCCGCCTCTGATTCTGGCCTGCTCTCTGCCACAGCCTCTCCCTGCTCACCAAACCCTGTTGCCTCTACAGCTTCTGACACGCCTCTCCTCCCAGTCCACTCCCTCTTCTCCCTCTGACCATGCATCATCATCCCACCACCAATCCCCTGGCTCTGAGCCTTCTTCCCCTGGGGGTTGCCCTGAGGGTTCCCCAACTGGTGCCTCCCACCACTCCTCTGCATCCAGCAAGTCTGTGACAGACAGACAAGCAAATGACTCCTTGGAGCCTCTTCCACCATCTATCAGTAGCTGCCCTCTGGGAAGGATTGCAGGGGAGAGACAGGCAGGCAGATGGGACAACCATCTTCTTCAGCTAGATGGTTGTCCCCCACCCCCACATACACAGCCAGGAATCTATCACCAATTGCCCTATGGGGAGATTCCCAATGCCAGGAATTTTTTATTGGTTTTACTGTCATGTTATGTGCAAACAACCTAGCAATAGTTATATGTTCAGGATATCATTCTGTGTCAAGATAGAGCAGGTGTCCTTAGATGTTCAGTCTCCACTGCTGGGAATCACAAGTGGGTAGGGTGGTGGTATGTCAGTTTGCATTTCTTAGTGCAGAAAGTATTGATCTGATGTGTGGAGATCTTTCTTATTCTGATTAATACAAGAGGATTCTAGAAGCTACTAGAAGCTTCTCTGTGTGAGAGAAGCAGGCAGAAAGGTCATGATTGTTTGGGTTACACCTTCTGGGAAGCTGGCTTAAACTGGTTCTCTTATCTCTTCAAATTAAGGTCTTGCTGACTATAAATATAGGCCAGAGGGAGCCTGGGTTTTACTTTCTCTTTCTATCTCTCTTCCTTCTGGTGTGGTGTTCTGTGCATAGTATGCTTAGTGCTAAGGTTTAGTCTTATTATGAGTTAAGTTTATAAATTTTATTTTGAGTGCTGCAACTGGATTTTTATGGACTGTGTCAATACTGAATGTTTTGGATTAGTGACCATTACACGCATTTGCCTTCAGCACAAATAAAGCTCTGCTGGATGAAGTACTATTGCCTCTGGTCTATTTTTGGGGAACTCTGCTACATGTTTAAGGTTTTCCTCCACACGTATGACATGGTATGCTCAGGTCCTGCGTTGTGGTTTCCCATGTGCCTCTACATTCCCGTGTGTTGGTCTACATGGGCCACTGGCCTGACCCAACCGGCTCTTTCTATTTTCTTAGATGTCAATATAAGCTCAGCCCAAACATGTGCCAGCCTCTTCAAATATACTAAGGGATAACAAAGGCCTCCAAAAATTACATTTCCGCTGGGATCATCACATTTGTCTTAGTATTGTGTAGGATCAAGGTCACTTGGTTTGTTGATTGATATTTCCAGGGGTGTTTTTTGTATAAGCAATGGGTGCCAATATTTGGAGTGCCATTCTCTGCACCTGTAAAGAACTTTCCCAAGAGGAAAATAATGTGCTTTCACAAACGACGTGAAGAGCAAAACCCCATTTTCTTTCTTTTGTCCTGGAATAAAACTGAAATGACTGTGAAACTCTTACAGTGCAGTACTGCAGCAGCAGCAGCAGCAGCAGCAGCAGCTCAGTTGGATAATTTTAGACTCTGGGCTTAATGGTCTTACAATGGGCCTTACTTTATAGAAAGTCAGGCCATTGGCCCATCCATGTCAGTATTGTCCATACTGACTGGTGGTGGTCATCCAGAGTTTTAGGCAGGGTTCTCTCCCAGCCCTTCTTGAAGATGCCAAGGAAATGTGAGCATCTGCATGCAAAGCAGATGCTCTACTACTCAGCTATGACCCCTTCCTCTAAAAAGGTGCCCTCTCGTTCTTTGATTCTACTTCAAAATGTGATAAACCAGCCCTGCATTTGGGGGGGGGGGGGAGAAGTTCAGGCTCATTTTGCTGAGTACAGACCTGGACCTCTGCCCCAATGCCTTGCCTTGGTAGCACCACTGTACCGAGTCTAGAGATTACTGAAGACCCAAGTGACAAGCAAGCAACAAGAAAAAGAATGGCAACCCTTAAAGTATTTTATTTTAATGAGAAATAAATCAGTGTTATAAACAAGTGAAACAGGCATACAACCAATAGGTCAGCTTTGTGAAAAGCTAGTTAATTAAATTAAAAATACACACGTCAGGGGTTTTTTAAAAAAAAGAAAAAATACATGCAAAAAGTCTTAAGGACTATGCAACAAGCCATAAATGCCTAAAAACTAAATGTCAAATGGTACTAACATAAATCCTACCAGTATTTATTAGCATTGCTGGGCTAAAAGAATATTAAATGATGATCAGTATACATTACATGTTTCTATGCTTAATGAGACTTCTGCTATAACATAACTTGTATTTTGGTTACCCATGAGATGTGAAAGATAGCTTCTTCCATCCAATCGAGTATTTTAACACAGATGCTGGTAGTAGCTGCCATTCTGTCATTTATGTACCACTTCTCTAGTGATCAAACTTTCTCAGTTCTAGCACCTTGACCTGCTAAATGGATGCCAAGGTGAAAACTCACCTGGCTGTCAAGTGTCACCTGCACAGTAATCCTACTGGGGTTCTGGATCACTTGTAATGACTATTCAATGGATTAAGAAACCATTATATTGGAATTAGAGCAGTGCATCTTTGGATGTTGTTAGAAATAACAATGACAGAATGAGAGTTGGGCAACAGTGTATTATATTTATTAGAATACAAAAACAAAAGTTTCTTAGGCCAATTTTCTTTTCTTTAACCCTGGCAGTAATGAATGACAGCAGGGTGCAATGTGACTCTTCAGTAAGACTCTGGACTGTGGGCCATCATCCCTGATCACTGGTCACGCTGGCTGAGGCTGATGGGAGTTGGGAGTCCAACAACAGCCGGAGGTTCCTCATCTCTGGGTGACATGACATGATTCTGCTCAAGGTCATGTGGCCCAGATTCCTCTGGTTGTTGGTTATTATCTTAAGGCATTGCATAGCAGTGTGATCTCATGAAAAATATGGTATGGTGCCATTGTGACAAGGCAGTTTTGCCAGCACAAATTATCAGAACTGAAATGTAAGAGTGGCAGTAAATTCTGTGCTTTGCCACAAAGTCAGAAGGATATCGCTGGTTTTCTTATGACAGATAGTGTATTCAAATATATAAAAGAAGTGTTTGCTCTAAGAAATATTTGACATCTTTCTATTCTATATGAGGATTTTCTGTATAAGCTCATATGGCTGTTCAAGAGAGGATGAATTTAATGAAAGGGGAAGAAAGCAAATTGTAACTTTGTTTCCTCTGGAATTCAGTAAGCAGGTGGTGGTTATTTCAGAAATTTATATTAGATCAGTTTTATGTACTGTATGAAATTAAGTTTTTAACATTTTTAATTTTTTAATTGGCCTCTGTGTATTGGTGTTGTTTTAGCCTCGTATTTCATTTTGTCTCATCAAGGGCAACCAAACACTGAATGAAGTCTCAATGCATGAACTTTACATGAACTCAACACTGTACGTTGCAGTAATGTTCTGGTCTTAAACATCTACTTACATCTATTAAAAGAAACAACAAAAGGTACATTAGTAAACCAATTCTTCAGCTGTCTTTAACTGCTATTATAACAAATGTAGCGGAAGGGAACAGTTCTTATGGAAGTCTTTATAATGTCAGGAACTATACACAGTCATATTAAAAGAACATTTATAAACAGCAAGCCAAACCAAAGACAATAAGAAAACAGACTTGAGAAAGGCTTCAAGTTAGGAATTTGCTGTTGCTTTGGTCTAAAACCATAGGTTTAGGAAGAGATTATACATAGTCATATTTTGAAGGATAGGAACGTCTCCCGTCATCACTTTTGATAGTATTGGTTTCAACTACTGGGACCTTCTTGGCTTCATACCCAGTTCCAGACTTATATCCAGCGCTCTTGTAGGACACGGCCTTGTAACTGAAACACAAATAAAACACAAAGTGGTGTCACTTTGTGGAACTGTCTAAGATAACTGACTACTCAGAATCATCTGTTCTATTCCTTGTTACTTAGTGAAGAATATAATACAATTAGGTAAGCTCCATAAATATCCATTTTCTATTTCACTACAGTAACATGTAGAACAGACTCAATCATTATGAAAGAAACCATTTTATGAAATGCTTGGTGGTTTTCTCATCATGCATGTAGGTAGGGATGGGTGAATCTGACAATTTTGGTTTCTCTCAGGTTCTCTCAGGAAGTATGATGGTAAGAGCTGTTCAACTGTGAAACAGACTCTCTCAGAAGGTGGTCTGCTCTCCTTCATTGGAAGTTTTTAAGCAGAGGTTGAATGGCCATCTGCCTTGGATGCTTTAGTTGAAATTCCTGTATTGCTGGGGATTGGACAAGATGACCCTTGGGGTCTCTTCCAATTCTACAGTTCTGTTATTCTATTATTCTCTCATTTCTCCAGTCTAATGTTCAGTTGTCCACATTCGTTTGGGGGGAAAATAAAAAGTTATCATGAAAAATTACCAGCATTTTAGTACAAAGTTCTCCTGGTATACACATTTTTCAATGCAATTTTGCCAAATTAATGCATTTTTATGTTATTTATGTGCATTTTCCTAATATACACATGTTTCTTCTATACATTACTTGGCTAGAGAACTGTGTTCCAGTTCATGTATTGCTTTGGAAAGTTCAATTTTGGTAAGTTCAACTTCAAAAGCAAACTGAGTCAATTTTCTCCTCCATCCCTGTGATTTAGTATGGCCACTCTGCCACCTTTTAAGTTGGAGAATGAAGAAAAGGATCTGTCTTGCCCTTCCACATTACAACAGTTCCATGAATATGTATAGGTACTCACTGGGTCTCTTCGGGTACCAGTCCTCTGCAGGCGATGCACATCATAATGCCTCCAACCAAGGCCAAGCCTCCAGCAACCCATCCCACAAACAGGGCGGCACCAAATGTGTACCTGGAAAATAAAGTGAGTGATGGTACTTAGTTTACACAAGTCCATGTGTCTTACTCAAGTCAATATGTTGCTTCTTAGAAAGGATATTTAAAATGAAGTTTTGTTAAGGCATAAGCCAGGTATGGGAAACCTGTATCCCTCCAATTAAGGAATGCATCACCTCTGGTATTTAAATTGAAACAAGGGTTTTGTGCGGAGGTTGGCAAAGACATTTGTTCAAAAGGAGATGGAGGGGCATATTATTGCAGCCATGGCCTATAGTAGAGTATGTCTCTGTCATCACCCTGCCTCTATCCCCCTTGTTTGTTTTCCTGATCTAACCGACCAATGTACTGACTTCTTTTGCACCATGTTTTGTAATCCCAACCTACTCATTCTGTGCCTTCCACCCACACAATGTGGACCTAGCTAGCCCGCATTACTGGGAAGAGGAACCATCACTCTGTGATACAGCACATGGTGGAGGTCCCTAATTCAGTGCATATTCACACCAGGCTTTTTAAACACATCCAGTTCTGATTTAAAGCTCATGATGTCCTCCAGAGAATCCTGGGAAATGCTGTTTGTTGATGAAGCTGTGGATTGTAGCTCTGTAAAGGGGAAACTACACTTCTCATGATTATTATTGGGGGGGTGTCATATGCTTTAAATGTGGATTTAGTATGCTTTGAATGTATGGTGCAGATCTGCCTTCGGTTTTTGGTATCTCCAGATTATATTTTAAAAAAATTTAAAAAGATAAGGTAACAGGTGATGAAAAACACCTCTGTCTAGCACCTCATAAAACTGTGGCCAATCAGAATATATAATATTGGGCTATATGGACAAAACTGGGCTATAGACCCAGGATAAAGTAGTTCCCTCTGTTACTGTGTGATCCATGACATTCTTTTATACACTTGACTTGGCATGCATACATTGAATGTATGGTATTACCAATGAATCTAGTTAATGCTTGGCAAAGAAGATGACACTAACTTATAAAGCCAGTCTAGACTACAGAGCACATCAGTTTTGTATCAGTTTAATAGGGTTGAACCATAGAATCCTGAAAATTGTAGCTTGGTGAAGGTGTTGAAAATAGCCCCTCCCACAGAATACAATTTCCAGGAGTGAAGAGTTCATTCCTCTTGTGTAGTTATGCCTTAAGTCTCATTATTATGTCATGAACGAAGCACGCAAGTGGCTGCACACACACACACACACACACACACACACACAACTGTGAATGCTGTGCATGACCCGGAATTACCTTGTCTGGAGTGTCTGCATCATTCCTGGTTGATACATATTAGCTGTTGACATCCAAAAGTTTGAAACAAGCATGTTGGCAAAAACAGATACCCCACAGATAGCACAGAGACCTGTCAGAGAGAAGGGATCATTACTTGCTGCCAGAATGGAATTCAAGGTGGTCAAGGCCAGATTTTTAAACTTAGTTTTACTTATGAAACAGGAATCCATAAAATAATATCATCAATGCCCAGGTGTGTGAATGCGGCTACCTTTCACTGCAGGTGTGTATTTATACCAAGTTAGATATCTTAAACTATGTTACCCGGAAATGTAAAAAGTAGGGTCAGGTGCCAGTGTCCTTGAATCAAAGTGGTAATATTAAGCTGGTGTTGCACCTAAGCAACAGAACACCCAGTTTATTGCACTAGTATAGTTCAGGAGAGTCCAAGGCATAACATTTGTTTTGCTGGTTGTGATGCTAGTGCTTCTGTTCCAGTTTCTAACATTCTCTTTATACTGCATACTGCACCTACTGCATTGTGGAAATTGTTGGCATCCATCTGTCTCAAGAGACAATGGAGTGCGCCTCCAGGGGTGAAGTCAAACCGCTGTGCTTGCAGTTCTGAAGTGACTTCCCTGGATCCACTATTGGCCTCATTGGCTCAATTGGTAGGAGCCTGTCTCCACATGCAAGGGAAATCCCTAACTCATGGAAGGTTTAGGACCCATTGGCTACCCTCATCTGGTTTAGCTGGCCAGTCAAAACCATTCCTTGGGTGTGGCTGCTGTCACATCCTGACAGCTTCTAGGAGCCACAGATAGAGCTGAGTGCAGGGTGGGACCAAAGGTGGACAAACTACCCCAAAGGGGGCATGATATGCCCCCCCACCAGAGGTACTACCCCTCCCCAACTTCCCATTTCATTATTGAAATATGGGTTTTTTAATTGATATACCACATCAGACTAAATTTTAAACAGCAGGAAAGAGCTGTATGCTGGGATACAGCCCCAGATATTGTCATGTGAAAACTGTGGAAAATTACAATGCAAAACTTGTGTGGTTTTCTGTGTTAATAGGTTTGCACATTGGTATATATTTTTTTCTGGAAACAATTAACATAGAAATGAGTGCTTAATTTCCACTAGATTCCACTAGAGTTCCAGAAGTGGCTTTTACATTGTGTGAAATATTACATAAAATGTGAAAAATTACAGGTAAGGAAATGTGTGGGAAATGGAATGAAGTGCCATCCGAATGCACTCCAATGCCTGCTTATAAACTTTATTAGTCCCTTGTTGTAAGTTTGTTAAATGCTTTCAACCCCTTTATTTCAATTGTCTCTTCCAGAACAGAACGCACTGTGGAGCCCCAGTAAGAACCATCACTCACCAGCTACAATGCACATGATTCCAGCAGTCAGAGTCAGGTTTGCTTTGGCAGAGTCCTCCATATTTCCGATCCGTAAACACTTCAGGGAAAAAATAGCCACCAGGAGGCCAAAAGCACCCAGCACGATGCCCACAATCATCAGAGCTCTCACAGCCTGGAACATCGCTGCAAAACACATAGAAGGAGAATAGGAATTATTTAAATGAGTAGCAAACTCAGTATTCTTAATGCAACCAAAATCAACTCTTATCAAAGGGCTGTGGTACAAAGGAACCATTGGGAAAATGTTCAGGGCAGGGGGGGAAACATGTTACTAAATGCAGAACTAAACATAACCTCTTGGGCTCAAGCTAATGTAGGCTGTTCAAAAGAAAGAAGGGAAATGCCTGATGATTTGTGAAGTAAATATTGAAAGTCCCTTTCAGAAACGTCCACATCCAAAGCTGCTCTCCATGCTTAATGTCTGTTGAGCAAACATCAAGAAGCACACATGTTCTTTTTGAGCAGAACAGGACTTCAGTTTGTTCCCTGTGGATATGGCCCTTGACATTTAGATAATGTGCCTGTGACATCTACTCTCTCATGTGTTTTGTCTTTTTTCCCCCTGCCTTGTAGAAAGCTGGCCCATTCTGACTCGAGTCAACCTTTCAAACCCTTTTCCCTCCAAGAAACATATATACTGCAAGAAGGAAGGTTACAGGAAACCAGGCAGAGGGCCTTCTCGGTAGTCGAGACAGCCCTATGGAACAACCTCCCATCAGATGTCAAGGAAATAAATAACTATCTGTCTTCTAGGAGACATCTAGGGACGCTTTTAATGTTTGATGTCTTACTGTGTTTTAATCATTAGTGGCTGAGGCAACCCAGTCAGATGGGCAGCATATGAATAATAATAATAATAATAATAATAATAATAATAATAATATTTTATTTATATCCCACCCTCCCCAGCCAAAGCCAGGCTCAGAGCGGCTAACAACAGTAAAAATAACACAGTTTACATAAAATCACAATCAAGTAATTGAAATACATTCTAAAATCAGTTCATTCTAAAATCAATTCAGAGTCAAATTAATGGCAACCATTGGGCTAAAGTTCTATGAGGATTACAGAAGGCTGTGCCTTGGCCAAAGGCCTGGTGGAACAGCTCTGTCTTGCAGGCCCTGCGGAAAGATGTCAAGTCCCGCAGGGCCCTAGTCTCTTGTGACAGAGCGTTCCACCAGATCGAGGCCACGGCCGAAAAAGCCCTGGCTCTGGTTGAGGCCAGCCTAATCTCACTGAGGCCCGCGATCTCCAAGATGTTTTTATTTGAAGACCATAAGGTCCTCCATGGGACATACCAGGAGAGGTGGTCCCATAGGTACGAGGGTCCTAGGCCATATCAGGCTTTAAAGGTTAAAACAAGCACCTTAAACCTGATACTTACTTTGTTTTTGTTTTTTTGTTTAATCTATTTTAGTAATTCCATGGCGAAAGGTTTCTGAACAGGAAGCGATTAACAAGATATTTGCCATACCATCTAAAGACCCTATTACCCTGTGTCATGAGAAGTCCATTTTGCAAACGGTTACCGACTGCCATACTATCTGCTGCAGCTGGTAAATGAGTCATGAGGTGTGGTCTAATTAGTCAAGGCATGAACACAAATATTAACAATCCAGGCATTTTCAGATCCCCATTCATCAGCTCAGGCCTGATCTACACTAGGGATCTTCACACAGGGAAACAAGAGTTCCTGGGCAAGTGCTATCAGTACCAAAGTGTGATCACTGCATATTTTGTGTACAGAACAGAAGGAGGCATACAGAAAGGCAATGCATGATCTGGCTGTGTATTATGTTCCACTTTCAGTTCCTCAAAATTCATTTCAGTGGCTCCTGTTTTACCAAGATCAGAAACTTAAAAACACATCTGAACAACAGATGAAAACCAAAAACTTAATGAGAATAGATTGGCATATTTTGAAAGTTTGAATGCTATTTTTAAAATAAAATGACTGGTGTTCTAACGTATTATTTTGGCCGTAACTACATTTAATTTTCCTTTTTTAAAAAAAACCAAAAACACCTATGCATATCTAGGACCACTCTGTATTCTTAAATCACCTTATTTCCCAGCCCAATCACTGCAATATTAGGGGGAGTCCCTGTTGGTGGTCCCCTGTGCCTCAGATGTACAGCACATAGCTATTAGCTGCTGTGCATTCAGTATCATGGGCCCAAGCCTATGGAACTCCCTTGCAACTGAGATTAGACATGCACACTCTTTGTGGAACTTCAAGTATATGGCTAAGACTTTTTTGCTCCAGCAGGCATTTAAAGGTAGTGTTTGGCTTTATGATAGAAAGAAATCCTGGGCCTTGTTTTATGTACACTGCTTTGTGATGTGAATAATTAGGTGGTTAAATAAATAATTAAATAAATAGCTTGACCACCTTCCCCATAAGGTCCCAGGGCAGGTTGCAGCAATTTAAAAATATAAAATTATATCAACTTAAAATCATACTACCATGGTTTCACCCTAGACATCTAAAGCCTGCTCTCTTGAAAACTTGATTTCAAAAGTTAGAAATGTGATTTTCAAAATGTGAAATATATATATAATTCATGACATACCAGATATGTTTCATTTAATATTTTTGAATGTCTGTCTATTCCAAAGTCATTTTATGGTTGCACTTACTGTATTTGCAGCCTATTTGCACTGACCCAGATGTTAAAATCACGTCCTTTCTTGATAACAGAACTTTGCCCCTATCTACTTTCCAACAGGCACACACCCTGCCAAATATACTCATTGCTTTGACTACAGAAAGTTCCACTAAAACTTCAGAAATAGTACAAGGCCAGAATGATACCTGAATTTCTGCATAGTTCTTCACAAAAACAAGAAACAACATTTTCTCCTCCCAACATGTTCAGGCCAAGTATCTATATTACTTACCAGCGGGCAGTGGAAGGAGGGATTAAACCATAGAATCATAGAATCATAGAATCATAGAGTTGGAAGAGACCACAAGGGCCATCGAGTCCAACCCCCTGCCAAGCAGGAAACACCATCAGAGCACTCCTGACATATGGTTGTCAAGCCTCTGCTTAAAGACCTCCAAAGAAGGAGACTCCACCACACTCCTTGGCAGCAAATTCCACTGTCGAACAGCTCTTACTGTCAGGAAGTTCTTCCTAATGTTTAGGTGGAATCTTCTTTCTTGTAGTTTGGATCCATTGCTCCGTGTCCGCTTCTCTGGAGCAGCAGAAAACAACCTTTCTCCTATTTACTGTCATGTGGGAAAACTGTTTCTTTCATTGGTGGGTGTGCACACCGATACCCAAGATATGATATCAAATCAGTTCATTCAAATAAATACACAGTGCCCAAATACACACTGAGTTAGTCTTGGTCTGGCGGGTAGAAACTGCTGCTTCTCCTCTGAAAAGGAGTTTAGTTAGTTTTCACTCGGGATTTCTGGCACCTTTCCCCATAACAATAAAATATGATCTTTTAAAATGATGTGTGCACTTTCATATCCTCTGCGTGACAGTTTTATTCACAGCAATTGATTCTACATTTATAACTACATCACTGCAGTCAATATTAGTCTCCATTTACATTATCAGGCTGTTTAAAATATTGTTTCTTGCTAGCCTATTAAAAATCATTGGCTTTTGTCACATCTCTGGGGTAGCCTCGCTTGGCCAGCCCCTGGTCCGTACCTGGAAGCCCAAGGATTGTGAAATAAGGCCGGCACTCTGTAAGACCCGAACTCTGACTGACGCAGCTCCTCCAGAGGCCTTGGTACTGGAATACAGCTGTCACCGGGTTGTCATATAAGTCCTGCGTACTCCATGCATCCATCGCCGTGGACGCAATACAGCCAGCGAAGCCCAGGGTTGAGACCACAAAGCCCAACACTTGGCAAATTGTAGTGGACATGAGACCTCCTTTGCAATCAGAAGCCACTACACCACTGGCAAAGCTTAAGGAAGCAGTGAAGTCCCATTCCCTGTACCAGCCAACAGTGGCTGCCCTTATCAGATGGTTTCCATTAACAGGCTTTGTTGACTCAGTATGTTTTTGCAAGATAGCGCAGTTTCAGTTCTGTTGGTTGGTGTGTGCTTTGGGGTTGGCGGGAGTGAAGACTGGTGCCTTTGTCCCTTAGAAGCCCTTGTTGGCCAAAGAGTCATTGTTGGACTAATGGAGGTCAACCCGCAAGCTGCATTGAACATTCTGTTCATAATGCACATGATCAGCCCCCCTCATTCTTACCCCTGTTATTCAGCTTTGCTTATTCCATGTACCTGACATGTTGCTGATTCCAATGAGATGAAAGGAGCTGAGGCCAACACCAGCATTACAAGCTATATTTTCAGTGCTTTCCAAAATGACCTGCTCTCATCAGCATCATCAAAGTGTACTCCACTGTAAACTTTTAGCGATTGTTATGTGAAGTAGGACTTTTTAAAAATATATTTAAAAATCACATTGCATTTTGTGACTGTTTGCTTCTTGCTTACTTGGAATTAGATCTCTCTCTTGAACCAGGAAAGGTGTAAAACGCATTCCTTGCAAACACTCTAAAACTGATCTATTTTCAGAATAGGAGAAGCGATAACGCTCCCCCTGTGGGAAAGCTATTCAAAGGACCGTCTACTTTGCTTGAACATAGCAGGCTAGCTGAGAGGGTTTAAGGCAAACTCAATGGCTCACACAGATCTGTCCTCTAATTCCTTGTCTCTGATCTCTTCCCCCATCATCTGCTATCTAATGGTAGGGCTGGAATAAAATGTCTCTGATTATTTATGTGTTGTTCTTGTACTCTTGCTGTTGAGTTCATCCATTACGAAACAGGGATGAAGACAGGGCCGCTGGACTAAGGTAAAACAGTTCTTTTGCTCTATTTTAGTAGATGAGAGGTTCTACTGGTGCTGATTAACGCCGAAAGTTAATTGGGGGTGGGGTGGTAAGCCCTGCACATTTCAAAAAAGCTGTTACACAACCCGATACCGTGAATCATTCTACTGAATTAACAATGAGGAAGGTGTCTCGGGCTGCACCCCTAGAATAATAAATTGCTTCCTTAACCTAATCTTTACCAACGTGCAACCCCTTTATCTGTTACATTCATCTAGTACTGTGTTGACACAAGAGGAAATGCAGTAGAGGTCTGGACGCCATGTTTGATTTTGAGTCTTTCAGGTTTAGAAGAGTTGGGAGGAGGACTGAAAGAATACCAACAAAATATGAAATATTTAAACAAATGTACAGTGTGTGAGCACCAACATGCCGATAGCAAGGATAGAACATAAATGTCTCTGAACCATAGCCTAAACGGAGTAAATAGTTTGGCTGGTGCCATTTCCATTCCAGTCTAAACCGTATCAAATGGTGAATAGCTTAGTCACTATGCCTGTCTAGTCCCAGGAATAACTATTGTATTTCAGAATGGCAGAACAATCTGTGATACTACAGTACTTAACTAGGAACAATTTATTGTTACAAAGTGTCTGGAAAATCCAGGGTAAAACTAAGACTGGTGCAATCTAATCGCAAAACATTTATCTCTCATCCCAGCTCATTTTGGGACTCATTCAGTGTGTGCCCTGATTTGCACATGATAGTAAGCCATAAACTATGCTTTACTGCAAACAAGCAATGTGCTAGTGCATGCTTCTCGATTACAACCACCCTTCTCTACCCTGTGCCAAGCCAAGAAGAAATAAACTAGCTTAGTGTTACATGCAAACCAGCACTCAAGGTTTGTTTCTCTCTAAACAACCATGAACAGAATCTTAGGTTTGTTCTGGTTATGCCAGTGCTCTGGTTTGTTTCCATGAAGGGATGGGCAGATATGATTGAGCAGCATGCACCAACAGTAACCCATGGTTTGTTTTAAACCACGGGTCACATGTGAACTGGACCTGAGTGAGTTTATTTCTGAATCACAGTGCTGCCAAAGAGCCACAAAGTTTCTTGAAATAAGTAATATGGGCATGAAGTCTTTTGCCATAAATGTACTACTACAAGTTACAACTGAAAATACAATAAAACTCTGTGCACAGGAGACACAAGGCTGGCCTGACTATACAAACAACCCAAGTGACTGTTTTGGACAGCAACATTTTTAGAAGCCATTGTGAGGCAGATGGCAATCCAAAAGCATGTCCCAGGATACCTCGCAATATTTCAGTAGAACCCAGGACCTGCTCTCAGAGTATGTGGTAAAGCTGTTTGGGGTTTGAAAAATGTCTAGGGATGACCTTAACAGGCAGGGAACATATAAATACACAGAAGAGGAGACTTTAGCATCCTTATGCTCACTGAGAAATCAGCCTAAAGTGACACTTGATGGCACAACTTAATTATTGGTTCAAGTGGAATAGTGACCTACACAAAAGGTCACCCATCCATAATTCTGCTTCCATTATTTCCCAGATGACCATAACAGCAGAACCTCAGCCCTAATCAAGCGCACTGTGGCTGTGTTTGAACACTTGCCCTTGGCTCTATTATTATTGTTGTTGTTGTTGTTGTTGTTGTTGTTGTTGTTGTTATTATTATTAATTATTATTATTATTATTATACCACCCTATACCCAGAGGTTTCAGGGCAGTTCACAGAACAAAAAGCCATAGCTGATAAACCATGGATAAGTCCTGTGGCCAGGTGTTTCTTCATTGCTCCTCCCCTCTCTTCCCCCTGGTTTATTATCCTGTTTTGTTAACCAACATCAATCCAGAGTTCTCTGGTTCAGACATCACAAAGAACACTGGCATAATGTAAGCTGGAATCTCTGTGCCAAAGTCTATGTGTATAGGGAGGAGTGAAGGAAAGAGAAGAAACAAGGAAGGAGTGAATGGCCATGGCTCTTGTCTAGAGCTTTATGAATCATAGTTTATCAAGTTGTGGATGAACGTACCAATGGTGGCTTTGGTTAGAAATGCCCTCATACAAGCTAAGGGAGAACAGCCGTTTTATAGGTGGTTGTTGAGAAAGGCAGAATGGCTGTAAGAATTAGGAAATTAATTTCGTTTCTCCTCTGTGGTAAATGGCTCTGGGGAGTGATATAAATTTGCCAAGCTGCTCTGCCAGATGCACAGCAGTGAGTTACAGAGGCCTTCTGGACTCCGGGCTCATCAATTCTGATCTAATACACTCTTGCAACTGATTTACTTCAACTCTGACCTAGAAACAAATCCAGCTTTTACCCAGTCATGCTACTCTTATTTTCGACAGACACAATCAATACAATACTCTCATTGTAAATTGAATGAAAACTATCATTAGGAGGGATAATTTACAGGGAGCTTAGTATGTATAGGCTATTATATAAACATGTCGGTAATAACTGCCTAGGTGGGCCGGGCATCCCGGTAATATATAAAAATTAAGAGGCTGGTTGTTTAACTATATGCATGATAAAGAACCATACCATCTAGCTGAGCAGATAAACATTGGGTTGCATCCAGTGTACTTATTGTGCTGGGGAACGTTATTTCACAAGTGAAAACACACGTACATTACCAAAGTATATTACTAAAGATTGTTGTGCAGCAGATTGCCTAAGAATCTACTGTTGTGCAACAAGAACCAGCTGTTGCTGAACTAGCTTCCACTAGTGCACTAGTCCCATGGATTGCAAGACGATCAAACCTATCCATTCTTAAGGAAATCAGCCCTGAGTGCTCACTGGAAGGACAGATCCTGAAGCTGAGGCTGCGATACTTTGGCCACCTCATGAGAAGAGAAGACTCCCTGGACAAGACCCTGATGTTGGGAAAGATGGAGGGCACAAGGAGAAGGGGACGACAGAGGATGAGATGGTTGGACAGTGTTCTCGAAGCTACCAGCATGAGTTTGACCAAACTGCGGGAGGCAGTGGAAGACAGGAGTGTCTGGCGTGCTCTGGTCCATGGGGTCATGAAGAGTCGGACACGACTAAACGACTAAACAACAAGCATTGGATTTTTGTTATTGTTGTGCAAGCTAGCAGACAGAAAATGTTGGACATGGGGGGTGGCGGATTTTGGCATTGCACAGAGTGCCACTGAAATCTGAGACACCAAGGTCCACCACTGCTGGACTACATCTCACATCATCCCTGACCACTGACCATTTTGTCTGTGTCTGAGGGGAACTGGAGTCCAGCAACATGAAGAGGGCTGCAGGTTACTCTCATGCTAATAACAAGGTTAGCCTATTAAAATATCTGTTCGATTGTCCAGCAAGCATCAATCTACTGGTCCTATTCATCCCATGATCCAGTGAAGAGATTATTCCAGGAAGATGGGGCAAGGAGTCCCCATTATGGACTACTCATCCCAGACATGAATTGTATTGCACTTGTTTGGCTCATTCTGTGTTATAGTACAGGTAACCAGATTCATGCAACTTGTTCTTTGCCACTGAGTCACACCCTAACTCCTAGTTTCAGCAGCACCCACACCTTTTATCTGCCCTTTCCTCAGACAAACGTGTATTTGATCACTGCACCCACTGGAACATTTCAATGTTATCACTGCTGCTCCTACAAAACTACCCGAAACTCATGTTGACTTTCTTTTTCGGTAAATATAGCATACTCCCACAGGATGACATCCAGTTGGAAAAACTGGGGGGAAATTAAGGCAACTCCACCCTTTTCTGTACAATACTTCTTATGCTGTGGACTTGAACCCAGAATGTGAAACTTCAGTAATCGGAGTCTCTGAATGGCTTTGGAGGATGAATTAGAGTTTTCTCTCCAAACACAAAGACCCATAGTCTGAAGGCCTTGGGGCCGCCTTTGTCATTTACCATGTCGAGTGCCAATCCACCTTTTTCAGGGCCCACCCAGTGATTAATTTGCATATCAGATATGTTCATGTAATACATCTGATCCTCAGAGTTATAAAGGCAGGGACTTCAGTCTGCATTGGTCCTCTATCTATCTTCACTGGTGTATTCAATTAAAAAAATGCAGCCAACAAACTACAGAAAAAGATCTCAAGGTGTTGGTGATCTGTTGACTCCATAAAAAATGAAATGATTCACCTTTCTCGTTCAGCACCCAATTGGCATCTTCTTACAATCAATACAAATGGCATGAACTAGGCTGGAGTTCAAGATACAATGATATTTCATTTGGTTTACAAATAAAGCAGCTACCATGCCATTTTCTAGCTAGCTTTCAAAGCAGCACCAGCACTGGGAAGTACCAGACTAGGGAAGAGAACTTTTGAAAGTTGTGACTGTCATGAGCATGGATACGAGATATATTCATGGAAAATATTGTGGAAGTCATGAAAATATCACAAATCTGGAAGGAAATGGTCATATGATGGTTTTGTGGCATCTCTAATTTGATAAATTATGCTATCTGGACCAGGATGGTAAAATGGGGTAGGTGATGGAAGACAGAATAGGACCTAGCCAGCATAATTGTTGATGGTATATCAAACCTTGATTACAATTTTGTAAGAGATCAGTTGGAACAGAAATTGAGGATATAGTTCTCCAGCCACAGATGCTACTCTGGAGTAGTGCTAGGTAAGACATTTTGCCTACTCTAGTACCAATGGCTTGAAGACTGACACAATTAATCGCCATTACACCTTCCCTTTTGCAATATCTTGTACTAGACTCTCCCATTTTAGTAAACTTCTAAGGACAGAATAACTTTAACTAAAATAAATCCCAAGGACTCTTTGTTTTTGGTGCACTTGAGAGCATTAAGGCAGGGTGGGGTTGGGGGTTGGGGAGAAACACTGAAACCAAAATGTCAGTGATACATTTGGGTAGCCTGGCTGCTCCACACCAATCTTACTGTTTTTATTCACTATGACACTATTGTTCATAATATAAATTGCTATTGTCAGAATAATAAATAGGGCTTTATAATGGAAATACTGGCAGCCCCATTAACTATGTCCAAGCGGGTGAGGTGGCTATAATGTAAAAATGGGTGGGGCGGGCTTAGAGTAAACTCATCCCTCAATCTCGTAGTTTTCCATCCTAGAGAAAGACATATTGCTACAATTTGATTATTTATATTTACTTGTTTTCCCCGAAACATTGTTCTCCATTACTCATTGCAAATGGTGTAAAGACAGCTCTATCACACACCCAGAATGCCCCAGTAAAACATGGACCTGCCTCACTGGCAAGGCTCTTCTTGTATGGATATCCCCAGCAATTACAATCATAAAATATACAATAAGTGAGAAAAGTGTTTCTACTTTTATTCTTCTTAACAAAAGACATGCTGCTTTAGTTTTATGTTGGGGTGTGTGTGTGTGTGTGTGTGTGTGTGTGTGCGTGTGTATGCCATTTCTTTCTTCATTAGACTATGCTGATAATGATTACCAACTACCAGCTACTTTGGAGTAAAACATATTTGTATGTACATTTATATTACATTTACTCACAGAATAAATACTGGTGGGGGGTGTCAGAATCCTCCACCGCGGCTGAGGAATTTACATGCTAATTGATTTGGTCTGTTAGCACTTTAGGATGACAAGTTAATTAAAAACATGTACACAGTGCTGAATCACACACAAAACCACTCCACGCTTGCAGATTGATATTATTTTGGCCAAGCAGAGCTGCGATAGCTTTGTCTCCTCTGTCTCTCAGCACAAGGTCTATTCCCAAGTGGTTCTTTTTCTACTTTCGAGTGCCTGGGGAAGTGAGGTAGAATATTTCATATTTTGCCTTGCAGCCGGCTTTGTTTTTCACATGAGGTGAAAATGGACTTCTTCTCTCGCCGTGTGACAAGTGATCAATTGTGCCCAGAGCCATTAAAATAATAATAATAATCACACCACCTCCACCTCCACTGAACAGCTACCAAAATAACAAAACAAACCCCCCCCACATTCAAGGACAATGGCTCATGGCTGTGGAAGGTGGTGTACAAGAGCTATTTCATTTTGTTCACAGCAGCACTTATCCTATGTGCGTCTTACCTTACAGAGGACCTGGTCTCTGTTTGAAGGCTGTTCCTGGCCAAGCCTTCTTTAAAGATGAATAACCCTAAGAAGGAAGTGGAGGGGCCTTGCAGTTGCCCCTTGACCATGTGGGGAGGCAGACTGAGCAGACATGTGGGTCACTTGACCACAGTTTCCCCCCCTAAGGTGAGATGTACTATATTACATTTCTATTTCTATTTCAGCATTTATTTCTAAATTCCCATATATACTTATATATTAGCACATGCAAAGCTTATACGAACCTATGTCTTTTGGGGGGGCGCTGACTCATAAGCTGCCATCTTAACAACCCATAGTTTTTCTTTGCTTATAAAGTGGAATGGCTGAGGCTGAGATGTGTGACTTGCCCAACTCTGCCCCATCAGATATGATTCACTTCCTACATTTCCAGCCATGTTTTTCATTATTAAGCAACAAAGGGTAGTTTCTAGCGGTACCACATGCAGAATACTACACACCCATTTGCATCACCCACCACAATGCGCCCCTGCCTTTTGCACACTGGAGTCATGCTACCAGGAGTTATGCTTTGTCAAACATTAATTCTTGTTATAAGGGGTGGCAACTGAAATAAAATATTTGGGGGGCAGGAGAACCCCACCCCACATAATTGATCATATGGCATGGTACACACACACCGTTTGAATGGCAATGTCCATCATATTTGGGGGGGGCTCAAATATTTTATTGGGGTGACAAAGAACCCTCAGTCCTAGTAGTTGGCTCCAATGCCTTGTGTTGGCCAGAGATGAAGTTACTGAGTTCATGATTGCTTTAAAAATATGTGTGTAAAACAAATCTTAGCATTTTTGATCTGCTTTTGGCTTGTTTAGCTCCAGGCTAATTATGATTTATTGTAAATGTTTTTAACTTAACACTTTGTAATCTGCTGTGGAGTTTTTTTCTGAGCGGTGAAAGGCTGTCTAGACATATATTAAAAAATAAATCAAATAAGTCATTTGTTGGCATTTTCTGTTCAAAAAGTCCTCAACTATAGGGCACTACATGGCACAGAAAGATCTGTGGAGACCATGATAAACCAAAAGCTTTAAGGTACAATTGGGGGGGGGGATTCTTACTTCCATATGTCTCAAAACCTGGGAGCCTGTGAGATTAATTTTTCCTGGGCTAATTCTCTGGATTCCTCTTCCTTGTTGATCCCAGTATTGAGAAAGAGAGAAAGAGACTGAAGGAAAGGGTACCTTGGATAAGTTTTTGGCCAAGACAGGAAGCAAGCTTTATAAGGTTTGGAAGCTCCCTCATTCCTACTGCTAACAGCTAGTCTTACATTTACTTTGCCAATATTTATTTTATCAATGCATCACATTACCTACTTTGCCTCGTAGGATGAAAACATGCAGTTTTTAACACGGTGAAAACAAGAGCAAACTTTACTCTTTAGCCAGATCTAACTATATTGTACAATGAATACAATGTAGTGTTACTGTTTTAAAATAGCAATGTGAGCACACCACTACCTGCAAAACAAATTGTAGGAGGCACTGCCGGCAGTTGTTTTCAAAGAAATCGTTTGGGCCACTTCAGGCATTGCTGTTTTCCTCCATGGATATAATTGCTGTAGAGGAAAACATGAGCTGACCATGATGTGTAAGTGTATCATAGGTGCCTTTGACACCCCAAGCACACAGATTAGGTTGCCGCCACACAGCACACTTTTGGCAGAAAACTCATTGCCGCTGCTCTTTGCACACACTGATAAATGCATCCCTTCCTAAACTCAATACAGGGAAATTGGAATGTCAGGTTTGCTTGTCACTTTTTATTGTTCAGCTCTCCCCATCGAATATCGATATGTTTACTTGCTTGTGCAAAAAAACATATGTTGGAATTACAAATATTGTAATAAAAATAACAGTAAAGCATAAACGGAGAGATGCCAGTCTTCCGCTTCTGGATCTTCCCCACCACTAATATCGAAGGCAGATGCCAGAAAGGCTCTGTCCAACATTCTTTTTCCTATACCTACATGCTAGAATCTGAGAGGAAGGAAGACTCTTAGGGTAAGGCCATAGCTCTGTGGAAGAGCATGCAGGTTCAATCCCTGCCATCTTTAGGCACTGCTAGGAAAGGATCTGAAACCCTGAAGATCCACTGCCAATCACTATAGACAATATTGAGCTAGACTGACCATAGTTCTGTCTCAATATAAGGCTGCTTCCTATGTTCCTATGAGGTGGTCACCCAAGTCCAGAGATCTACAAAGAGCAGCAAAAGAGGAGTATACTAGGTACTGACTTGACAGATGCTTCTATTCAGTATGGACACCCCGTCCCTCATTATATAGGTAAATTCAGAAGAGTCTTAACTAAACATTTTACCCCTGGAGGAACTAAACCACAGTATAAAACAAATAAAACTAAGTCATTAAGTACAGATAAATCTTAAAAACCCATTATAAAAATGGTGGAATTGTTTACCAGTTTTGTACTTCTAGCAGAATACTAGAAGAGTCGCCATATTTATATTACAGGAGGTGTATGCTATTATTATTAAAAATCTGTTTCTGGCATTAAAGATTTAGAACAACGGCTTAAGTTAAGCTGCTCTTCAGCAGTTGATAAGGAGGGCATGAGGATGATAAATGTGGAGGGTTTTCTGCATCGCCTGAGCAGCAAGAACAAAGAGGATACCTTTGCAATGGCTCCAGTCAAGAAAAGAAAATTCATATACAGACACACACACAAAAGACTTTTCATAATGTTGCTTTGGGACAGGTGTCAAGCGCTTTATTTCAACCCCAATGAGGTTTGATTTCCCCTTTTCTTTGAACAAATAGAAAGCAAAGATTATATTTCCAAAAAGAAAAGAAAAAATATTTCTAATCTGATGTTAAATCATCTGAAGACTAAACGTTACACTATTTAATAAGAAAGTGTGGGGGTAAGAAAAACCTAAAGGCCTTGCACAACATGAGGTAAAGATCTAGTCTCCTGAAAGTAGCTTTTATTTAATTGATTGTATATGACTTCTATCTTATATATTTTATTCTTAACTTTTAAAATCCTCCCTTTAGAGGTATCTTTAGAAAGGAGGACAATAGCTCCTTCCCAAAATCAACATGACATTGGTCATGTGGACTTGGGACGGTGGGGGAAAGTTTGAACAAAAGCAATAGTATACTTTTGAATTCTCAATGTCAAACACACACACACATGTATATAATCCACCATCCTCTTCCCACATCATTAGAAATAATACTGAGGTCATATGGGGTTTTTGTCATTTGCCTTCTACCTCCTGATCCCTTTGGATAGTTCTGCATCCATGTTTCTGCACTTCTGCCCCCATATCAGCCAGCCTGGCAAATGTTGGTGATGATATGGGCATCAGTGTGAGGGGGGAAATATGACTATCTCCAGCAGAACATTTCACTATATAAAATGCTGTCCTCTAGGTAGGGAATAGACGGATCTGTCAATTTTGGCTTCTCTCTGTTTCTCATTTTTCCCAATCTTTAAGTTCAGTGCTCCACAGTTCCACATCAGTTTGCAACTTTTTAAGTCCTCACAGCAATTTGTCAGTGTATTTATGCAAATTTCTCCTAATATGCACATTTTTGTATGCATTTCCTCCAACATACGCAAGCAATTATCCCCAATACAATGCAATTTTGTACATTACTTTCACTAAAATATGAATTTCAATTTCAATACACACATACATGTCAACATTATTTCATCACAAAGCTAAGAGAAGGGCACATTTTGAAGGATAGGTGTGTGCCAGTTCATATTGCTTTGGGCAGTGCAAATTAAGTAGGCTTGCATTAAAAGGCCCACCAAACCAAATTTCTTCCCCCGTCCCTTTCTCAAAGTCTATGGAAATGAGAATAATATTATGAGGAAGGGAGCAAGAGCAAATGAGAGGATCCAGTTCTCTCAGAGGCCTACAGCAGTCTTGAGTCGCTTCATCCCACCAGCTCTTTTCAATCGCACTATTGAGAGTACAGCATATTCCCTACCTGGTAGTCCAAGGATGGTGAAATAGGAGCGGCACTCGGTGAAACCAGAGCTCTCCCTGACACAAGTGCGCCATAGACCCTGGTAATTAAAGACGGCCGTCACCGGATTGTTGTAAAGGTCTTGGGTGCTCCATTGGTCCATGACAGTAGAGGCAATAACTCCACCGACCCCCAACATTGACACCACAAAGCCCACGGACTGGCACATTGTCACAGACATGATGGCGACTTGCTTTGAAAAGGACTCTGCAAGGTGTACCGATGGTTCTGTGATCGCATCTGAGTACCTGTCAAGCAAAATGGGGCTTTTACTGACAGGAGGCAGCACACGTCACTAACAGGAAGGGAAATTTGGCCTCTGCCATACAGACTTGCCCTGCTCCTGTTATCTGCTTCAGTTAGATTATTTGCCTCAGTCGGTACCAGGAGCCATTTCTTATCCATATTGCAAATGCCTCACTCTCTATTTACCTTTCGAGAATAGTTTTCATGACTAATTCAAAAGGGTTGGCATTAGTTAAGCCTTGCAGGCACCTTTCTGTTACAGAAATGTTGGGCTTACACACCAAGGAGCGAATTTGGCCGTGTCATTAAAATGTTGTTATTTAGCATAAAAACATTGACATGTCCTCCCCTTTAGGTTTCGAATATAATTTACTACTCTCGCTACCTATTAGAAATCAGGGAAACGTACCAATACATATGGGGTTTGACCCATTATTCCAGCAATTACCTCCTTTCTTCTGCAAGTAATGTTGCATCTGTCTATCTGTGTGTGGATTCTGGGTGTACATTTATTTATTAAAAGCATATTTATTTATATCCTTCTTTTATTAAGACATTCCTATCAAGGCAGTCAACTGCAGAACTATAAAACAAAACAATAATCCTAAACATCATTAAAATTTAAACTAAAGCAGACCAAATAAATGAAAAAATAATAATATTCTGTTGGGAGCCACCCAGAGTGGCTGGGGAAATATAATTGGTGGTGGTGGTGGTGGTGATGATGATGCAGGTCGCACAATAGCTGTGGCCATGACATGGGAGCAAGAAGTGAGAGACACTGAGAGTGGTAAAGTGGTAATTTAAAACAACAGCAGAAGGTTGGGGAAAGTAGGGATGGAGGGGACAGAAGGAGAAATAGTGGTCTTAAACAACAGCTCCATGTCTTTTATCTCTCTCAAGCGAGGCAGCTGAGGAATGAAAGAGAAGTTTGAGTATAGCAAGAAGGGGGAAACACTGAAAGGAAAGTAGCTGTTTTAAACAACAGCAAAAGCTTCAGTAAAGCCGGGGTGGAGAGGAAAGAGGCAGTTTTAAGCAATGGCAGAAGTTTGAGTAGAGCAAGCAGGAGATAAAACTGAAAGAATAAAGTTACAATTTAAAATAAGGTTTGAGAACAGTGAAGAGGGAGTTAAGAAAGGTTCTGTTGCGTTAGCTTTTTGGGGTTAGCTTCTGTGCTGAACCCATCTTTACTATTTCTCCTTGCTAAAATTTGTTTAATAATTTTAAAACCCTCAGTGACCCTCCCTCCCTGCTCTGCCATTGTTTAAAATCACAATTTTCATCTTGGGCTCGGTGATCCTCCAACCCATTTCTATCATTGTTTGATTTTTAAACAACCTGGGGCTTCTCTTTCTCCTGGTCCTTCAATGTTCTGCTTTATCCTTCTCCAACAGCCATGCTAGTAACACCAGCCCTGAAAGACCTGCATTGGTTCCCAGAACATTTCCGAGCACAATTCAAAGTGTTGGTGCTAACCTTTAAAGCCCTAAACAGCCTTGGCCCAGTGTACCTGAAGGAGCGTCTCCACCCCCATCGTTCAACCTGGACACTGAGATCCAGCGCAGAGGGCCTTCTGGCGGTTCCCTCACTGCGAGAGGTGAGGTTACAGGGAACCACGCAGAGGGCCTTCTCGGTGGTGGCACCCACCCTGTGGAATGCCCTCCCATCAAATGTCAAATGTCAAATAAACAACTACCTGACTTTTAGAAGACGTCTGAAGGCAGTCCTGTTTAGGGAAGTTTTTAATGTTTGAAGTTTTATTCTGTCTTATATTCTGTTGGGAGCCGCCCAGAGTGGCTGGGGAAACCCAGCCAGATGGGTGGGCTATAAATAATAATGTAGTAGTAGTAGTAGTAGTAGTAGTAGAGTCCAAAACATCTGGAAGGCAGTTCATTGGTGGAGGAGGGGAGGTTGTCCTACCTTCTTGTGCCACTGCTTGTAGGAATATGAAAGAAGTGTGTCTCTACAGCTCTCCACACCACTCTCCATCTTTCATCCCTGCAAGCAAGAGGCCTTACCACAGTTCACTGACCCATCCCAGCTGGGTAAAATCACTAGAGGAGGGTGCAGAGCAGGACCAATGATATGTGTGTGTGGCAAAGTCCTAGAGAGACTTGGAGGCCTGCATTTGACAACAGAGCCTGACCTTCCCCACCCCTGGTATATATGGACGGAAATCTGCCAGACAGTAGTGGCAAGAAAGCTTTTCTGTATTATTACTAACATAAAAAGAGCAATTAGTGTTGAAAATTTGAGGATTTTCAGGTAATACAATATTGTGTGTTTCTGTTGTGTATTCTTACAAGAGGCCTTGTCATTCAAGTGTCATATTTATGTATTGATAATATAATATAAATGTGCACATTTGTTTTAATTGCCTCTGAATTTACTTACATATCAGTCGGGCTGGCTGGAATCTTAGGGATTTGGCGGGGGGGGGGGGAATAACAGGAAATTGCTGGTGGAAAAATTCAGTAATGTTAATAGGCAGCTCAATGTTGACATGGCTAGGTCTGAAATCAGAACTACATCAAATGGTGCAACTCAGCCTAAAGTCAGCAGCTGTAGCATCATGTGTATTCTAGATGAAGTCACTCTTGGTATCGGTCAACACAGGACAAAGTTCTTTCTGAATAGTTTTCTGGTATTGCCTTAATCATAGCTACAAACATGATAGAGAAATAAAGGTCAATGCTGTCTGACTCTGCCGATTGGTTCTGAGAACACACAACTCTTGAAGGCATCCCTTTTCAGTCTGTGATAACTGCACCTTGGGTTTGATGTACCAGCTTGGGTTGAGTCATGACTAACATAAGTTCCATTGACTTCAATAGGCCAACTCTTAAGCATGATTTAGGCTGCAACCCTAACTCCATTTACCTGGAAACCTGAAGTCAGTAGGACTGAGTAGATGGTTAAGATTGTGCTGCAAGTCTAGATCTAATTCACTGTCTTCGAACATTAAGGCACAAACTTTGTGTTCCACTTTGCTAAAGCAAATGACACAAATGTTATACTTTGTTGGAACTAGGTTTGGGTTTGATCCAGACAAAGTTAGCTGAACTTAAGTTCACATTGGAATCGAAAGGCAAAGTTAGCCATAATGCAAGGCCCATTGATTTCAAGTGGGGAAAGCTGAATTAATTGAATCTGGATCCTGTTCAATAGCCATATTTTTGTTTCGTTTTGTTGCGCTACTTGATCTTGCTTTTCTTTCTTCATCACAGTTTTCATGACCTCTCCTTCTTCTTCCCCAACAACGGGGGCAGGGGGAATCTCCTGTGTTGAGGGTTTGTCTCTGTTGCCAACGATACCTTTCAATGATTTGCTATACAGTATTGTTATAGAAATAGGGGGGATCCCGCTAAACCCTAGAAATTAATAAATGCTAGGATTTGGGGTTATTTGTGATAGGAAGGGAGAATATAAGCTGCAAGGGGATTCCTAGGCTGCCTTATGCAAACCAGCCTGGCTGGCTGAGGGAAGAGCAGGGCTGTTAGCATTACAATAGAGCTCCTTCAGGGTCCTCAACAACTCCTTGTCCCAGGTGTGACCAGAGCCTAGAGATTTGGAAGGTTGCCAGGGTAACTGCTGTGGGGGAGGGCAAGTGGCTTCTGGGAAAAAGAAAGAGGAAGAAAGGGGAGGTCCATCTTGGTGAGGGTGAAGGAAGGACTGCCTGCAATGCTCTGGGCCATGCTATAAGATTTGGACTACCTACGTGCAGATGGAAGGTATAAATAGACGAATAAACCCCATTTCTTAAAGCACGGCAGCCTCCGCCGTGCCTTCTGTTCTCTGAAGGGACACAGACCCTTTATGTCTGCCTGTGACCCCATGCGTTCTGGCCACTGCTTGGCAGAGAGAAGGGGCAGGCGCCAGGCTTTTGTAACAATATTATTCACAAACCAACTGTAACTTCAAAGACATCTTGGTGACCTATCTAAAGCTGGGCAAATTGCTTAGCCTAGAGAAACTGCCTTCTTCCTGATCCCTCCTGGGATCAAGTGTGGCTGGGTGGCACAGGGGAGCTTCTGGAGGAGTAATATCCAACTGGACAATGGAGAACACTTTGACAGAGTGTTCACATTATTGGCTGATAGGGCTGCATCAGTCACTCATTCACAGACACAAGGTCTAAATTGCAGAACCAATTAACGGCACTAATAGCCCTTGCCTGAATTAATCTTTGAGACAAAAGGAAAGAGAAGTGGAAGTGCTATTAGCAAATCAAGCTGTACCATCCCTGCTTTATTGCGGGAATCTAAGTGTCTGTATTTGGCTATTATGAACTGACTGCAATTACAGCCCTCATTTAAAATGATTAAGTGGTTATAATTATTTTTCAATTAAAACTTAGATATTCTATTTTGCAACATCGCAGGCTTCAATTAAACTTCTTTCTTTTTCTTTCTTTCTCCTTTTTAAAAAAGGGCCACTCTGCCAAAAGAGTCCTGGATTCCCCTCTAACCATTAAGAGCCAAATAGGATGCTAATAGTACTTCTGTTTATATTCCTCAGCTTCACTTGAAATGGTAGGCAGTGATAGGAATTAACTAGCAGCTCCAGTACTTGCAGTGCAGCAGAACTTCAGAGATACAAATATCAGAGATGTCAATTGAACGACCTGACAGCAGTTCCACATAGCTCCACAATTCCCTTCTGCATGTTGCTCTGCAATGGCTCGTTCACCACCTGCTTTGAAGCAGAGCAAATAAATCAAGCAACCATATGTAGACTGAGATACTAATTTTCAAAAAAGTACGAGTTGTGGACTATGGTGCATCCATTCACTGCATCAGTGCGCAAAAAAAGTAGTGACATCACAGGGGTATTTGTCCATCTAGCCCAGTATTATCTACAACTCTAGGCACACTCTTCCATTGTTGTCAGAGACAGACGAATGCCAACCACAACTCTGGGAGAGACCCATTTTCTGGGATCTCTTTCCCATCATCTGCTATCATTTAGCCCTTTTAACTGGAGATTGTCAAGGGCTGAA